CAGGACTCAAACTGCACTTGGCCATGTGGGAGTCCAGCAATGTAACCACTACACCATTTGCTGGTCCCTATACTGCTATTTTTACTATTCCTGATGTGCAGTTAGAAACCTAGTGTTAACTAAGAAAAAGAAAGCCATGAACAGCTTCCCTCTCTCTCTTGTTTCTGTTTATCTTGATTTGCGTGTGAAATTCCCTTTGATGCAACGATGTTTGGATTGCCTTTCTGTACCTCCATTTTTCTAGCTGTAAAAGAAATTAGTAATATCTATTAGCATCATCCTATAAATATATGCACACATAAATATTATTTCTGCTTTTGCAAATTATCCTGGAAGCATTTCAATGACTACAAGGCTATTCAATAGTTTTGTTTTATGTTTCCTCTACAGATCTTGAGTTGGTTTGTACAGATTTCTCTAGGACTAAAACATATTCATGACAGGAAGGTATTACACAGGGACATAAAAGCTCAGGTAAATAGCTCGGAGAGAAGACCAAGACAGAACTGACCTTTTCTTGAAGCATCTCAAACAACATAACATTTTCTCCGTTTATAGAACATTTTTCTTAGCAAGAATGGAATGGTTGCAAAGCTTGGGGACTTTGGTATAGCAAAAGTCCTGAATAAGTAAGTATTTTTAAAAATATTTTTATTTCTGTATAAAATCGCCAAAATATGTAGTTTCAGATATCATGAATTAAGAAGACATTGAAAGCTTAGTTGTCCAAATAATTTTAGGTAACTTTATATAAATGCATTAAATCATTTAGATGGCACTTAGTCTGATATTAAAATTTCCAAGATGAGTTGTGGCATTATAGAGTGAAAGTGGTAATGTGTGTAGGGTGATGGAAGTTTATCAAATATGAGATGTGATGTAATACGCATCAAGACAGAATTTAGTCAAATAGACAAATATATACGTGCTTGGGAATGAATTGGTGCAACTGTTTTGGAACATGATTTAATGGTAATGTATATCAAGAGATAAAAATTATTTATTTAATTTTATTTCTTCTTCTTCTTCTTCTTTAATTTGACCAGGGAGAGACAAAGAGAGAGAGGAAGGGAGTGAGAAAACAAGTCACCAGGTCTGGGAGCAAGCCGCAGTCGGCCATATGGGAGTCCAGCACCTTAAATACCACCTGTTGACCCCTCAAGAGATTTTTAACTGTTTGGGAACCAGCAGTTAGTGTAATGGCTATGTCGCTGGACTCCCACGTAGTCGACCACGGTTTGCATCCTGGACCCGGTGGCTTAAAACTCACGCAGGGCGCATGTGCGTGCGTGCTCAAGATCCCGAGAGGAGAATGGAGGAGAAGGGATTGAGGCGTGACCATCCCCCCGGGGGGTGATTTCTTGCTTTCTATCTCTATGTCTCTCTCTGTCTGTCTGGCGAGCGCATGCGCCCTATAGCAAAAACCTCTCAAAACAAAAAAAAAAAGATTTTTAACTGTTCTATTTCTGGGAATTTGTCCCTAGGGAGTCATTTTAAATGTAGAATGATTTAAATGCCTAATATTTGGGAAATGGCAAATTTAATAAAACATCGATAGTTATGTACCTGAACATATTGTATCATCAAAAATACTTATGGCTGAGACCAGCAGATGGTGTAATGGCTACGTTGCTGGACTCCCACGTAGTCGACTGCTTTTCGAGTCCTGGACCCGGTGGCTTAAACTCACGCCAGGCATGTGTGCATGCATACCCAAGACCCCGAGAGGAGAATGGAGGAGAAGGGATTACAGCATG